AATACAGGTGAAAAATTCAACTAGAAAAATTGAAAATAAATATAATGTATCTGAATACAAATTAGAGACGTATCATAATTTCCATTTTAAATAAATCAACAGTGTTTTGCGACAATTTTTAACATCAACTTGAGAGTTTTCTTGTTAAAAAGTTGAATAATTTTAACACATTCAACACTATGGGTAAAAAAAAAATAGTGAATTTCATATATTTTTTTATTTTTTTTTTTTTTTTTTAGACTTAGTATGAAAGAAACAAATTCACAGATTTGACCAAAAAATAAAAAAAAGACCCCAGAACGACATCGAAATCCATTAAAATTTTTCAGCCTTTAAGAGTCAGTTGCTTAGTTTAATTTGTAACATATATAAATGTAGGTAGAAGAAAAAGCTTAAGATAGTGAGTATGACAAAGCACTGGCCAGGTCCTCTAATCAGGCTAGCAGGTTAGAGGATTCAGAGCTAGTATGCACTGACCTTGCACCTAGTTACCAATTAAGTACTATGCTTAAATTTATGAAGATGAGGTACCAAAAGAGAAGGTTAATTAGAACAATTATCTAGAGACTAAATCCACAGTTGTAAGCCATTAATACAATTTTGACAAGCTCATATGTCATAAGGGACTAGGCAGTAACATCTCAGTTTGAAAAAAAAATACTTCTGATCTACTTATACTGAGTACAGTGGAAATACCTCCCACATAATGGTAAGACATTAACTAGATGAAGACACAATTACCATTATGCGGAAGGTATATGTGGGAGGTATTTCTGCTGCACCCTGTATATCAACCATGTCTTTTAAATTGCATGGATTTAGATATTCTGCAGGCTGGTGTATGCATTGAGAGATAAATATGTGTGTCTCCTGAAATGCCCACAACAAACATCGGCTGACTCGGGATGTGAGTGCATGTAAATAAATGAAAAGAAATGACAAGAACCAATATATATGTACAAACAAATGATAATGTATTAACAACAAATGACAAGACAATAATGTGTGTGTAACAAATGAATGTGAAAACTTTTTTGGGTGCAAAGTGTGTGTAGTGAGTGAATGTGTATGTACATGTGTGTATGTATTGTTCATGCATTTCCAGAAGGGAAGTGCATTCTCCATGATAGGTTACATGTTGACAAATAAGTGGATAAGGTGAGAAGAGAGCAAGAAAAAAATATCGCTGAGTATTTATAGTCCAGAGAGCGTGTCCTAGTAGCGGTTTTGAAAATTAGGAGGAGGTAACCTGACAGATACAAAAACAAATAACAAATGTAAGTAAAATTTTTTGATCACTTCTTGGGCAGATTAACAGATGAGATTTGTCCCTGTAGAAAAAGATTTGATAAGAATACAAATATGTAATGAAAATGAATAAATTATTTAGAATCAATTTTAAAGTCAGATTCCTGAAAGTAACTACAATACATGTATTTGTATATTATTATCACAAACGTTATACCTATGTTTGAGTAGATACTCTGTTAGTTTTTTTTGTTTTGTTTTTTTTTTTTACTTTTAAACAATATATTTCTTAGTGTCTGTCAGCCTGAATATTTGAGAAATCTTCAAAAAATACATTCTCTCTGACAGGATAGGAACCTGCATCCTATTTAGCAGGAAAAACTGTCAGTAGATCTGACATGCTTCCTCAAAGGGTATTGCCTTCACATCCTTACAATAGTAAATGCATACAAGATCTGTCCAGAAATCATTGAATATTAACAAAAATATACCCTCCCTAGGGCAATGGCACCATTCTCTTTTTTCAAAATACTTCTCTTGGAACCTCACACACATTCTAAAGTTCCTGCTACTGTTCCAAACCACCAGAAAATTCCTCTTTTGAGATTGTTGCCAACTGCCATGTCACAATCTCCTCCACAATATTTCAACAATGGTTTTAGCTTTTGGAAATGCTTTTTATTTTAATTGAGAGAATGTTTAAATATCAAAATAGACAAGAGAAAGAACAAACAAACAAGGAACTGTTTTTAGAAACTATAAACAAATGTTAAAATATACTCAAGCATTTAGATGATCTGTGGCTTACCTTACCACTGCCTTTCATTACATCTACATTAAATTAAAGTTTCATGTAAATTTTAATAATAATGAGTTTTTGAAGTGTAGAGAATAATCATTTTCTCCATTTATTATTTTTTCTGACAAAAAAACATTGAAAATTGGAGATTGCATTAAAGTCATGAGCATTTGTAAATTGCTATAAATTCACCGACATCTGTTTGTTGCCTTAGATATGCCTGCATCTGTCTGTTGCCTTGGACACACCACCCTCTGTGGATTTTCCCAAGAGATACCAACCTGTGTGGATTTGTCCAAGAGACATCAGCTTATGTGAATTTGTCTCATTGTCACTGGTCTCTATGGATTACCTCAGATATGTCGGAGTTAACTCCTCCTTCAGTTTGTTAACCCTTTCACCAGGGGTCTCTCTTCCCTGGCTATAAATAGCCGCTGACCCTTCGCCTCTATCTCTCTTTTTTCCTTCAGGCCTGTGTGCCGACACCTTGAGGTAAATCTCTCTTTTTCCTCAGGAATTTCAGCTATCAACCTCGAAATGTAGGCGCTAACAAGGGATAGCGTGGAAACACACTAAGCACAATACACACACACGCACATACAGAATATTCACACACGCACGCACATACAGAATATTCCCATACACTTCATCCTTTGTACTGTTTCCATGTATTGTAACTTGTTATTAATATATATTTGTATATGCATATATTATCGGTCTTGTGTTTTGTTTGCTTTCTTTGCCGCCTTCTTTGGACTTGATCAGAGTCCAACCTTTTTATGTAGTTGGGACGGCGAGCAGGAGAATCTGAACCTTACATGTGTTTCTTCTACGTATGACGTCTATCAACAATATAACATCCACAGCCCTCCACAGATATAGTAATTTGTAAATTTTGAAAACAGCAACAATTATTTTTGTTATATTTTTCTTTTATAAAAATTGTTTAGAAAGAACAAAATCCTTTTTGTTTAGTGTGAAACTGAAGCCCATTCGTTTAGTGTGAAACTGAAGCCCATTCATTTAGTGTGAAACAAAAGTTGATTTGTGAAAATGATTAAATATTTGTAGGGATTTATGAATCACTGCTCATCAAACTGTTCTTGAGTCCTCCTGCTGCTGTTGGGCACAAAGACTATCCTGATTTTTCTTTTGAAAATCAACAAGAACTAAAACCCTTCTGCCAATAAGAAAATTTAATGAAACGTGTTTTGATAGAAGATGAAATGGATAATTGTCATTTTTTTATTTCAGTTATGTGAAAAGTTATTTGTTGCCAGACAAATCCAAAACTGGAAAACGGAAGACAAAGGTGAAAAAGAACTGTTTGAACCCGGTATTTGATGAAATACTCAGGGTAAGTATTTTTTCTTTTTTTTATGAGATGCTGGAAAGAACTTTAAATTCTTGAACATTTTTGCTTGACACTGTTAAGCAATGTCAAGTCTAGTCAGTACCTAGATGGGTGACCACTTAGGAATACCAGGTTCCTGAAGCTTGGATATGCAGCTGGTGTAATTGATAATGGCTCAGAATTGTTAATTGGAGAGTTGAGTTCCAGTTCCCGTTGGATCCTTTATATTCACTTATGCACAAATACCCTTGGGAAAGATATGAATTCACTTCTCCCACCCCCAGCTATGGATTAATTAGTATGATTCATAACACTAAACCATTATTATCTCAAAAAAAATTCTTACAATCTAAAAATATTTTCTGGCTTTAAATAACCTGCAAGGGGTTAAGCCATAGAAAACGAATCAAAAAAATCAAATAAACATTAGCAGTTCTCCACAAACATAGAAATCTTAAAATTTAATCATACACTATCACCAATTTCACTATAGTCATATAGTCACTATTATAGTTACTATAGTCATATAGTCACTATAGTCAAATAGTATTGTGAACGTAAAAGAAGTAGTGAACACAATGTCTATTTATTTTCTTCTTTTTGCACAAGGACATTTAAATTAAAACTCAAATTATTCTTACATAATTCTATATAGGAAAACAATACATAAATATGTTTATATAGCAAAACAATTGGCATCAATCACTCCACCATTTTTCCTGAGTACTAATCTCAACTATATGAACAAGATGGTGAAAAGATTTTAACACTGACTGGCCCCCCACCATATGGCATCAATAAATGAACAGAAGAAGAATTGTTACTTATCTGAACTGCTATAAAAAAACTGAGTCAATGAGATGAGAGATTTTTTACAGACAAGGACCAAAGCATTGTGGGTAATAAATGTTCATATAAGGCAGTGGTTTTCAACCTTTTTGAAACATTCCAGTGGCTCGAGGAACCCTTGTAATAAAAATTACTGTCAATCATAGTACTTGTGTAACTTCTTGCGGAACCCCTGGGCTTTACTGGCGGAATGCTAGGGTTCCGTGGAACCCTGGTTGAAAACCACTGATATAAAGGAATGGAGTTTGGGTGTGTACTAAGCAGGAGCAAGCACTGTGATTGCTAGAATAAAAAAGAAGCAGAAGTACTGGAGAGAGAAGGGAAAAAGAAAGAGAGAAAGGAAAAGACACACTTCAATGAAGAGAGAGAGAAAGGGATCAAGGATTTCAGCCTCAGATATCATTTTCCCTCTAACTCAATTTCATAGCAGGAATTGGTAAATATGTGTTATTCTTCATTCTTACTTCCTTTATTTAAACCACAATAAACCACAACGACTTCCTGAAATGAGAGTTTTTATGTTTGGTCATTGAAGCACTGATTTTGGGAAATGAATTGGATTGAGAACTGTTCAGACTCCCCTCATAGAATAACACTTCACTTTTAAACTGAACTTATTTTCTACAGTTAATCTTTACTATAGTCTAAGGGGAATAACTCTTAATAAATTTTACCTGGCTTTCTTTTAAGTGTTGTATTATGGGAATAAATCTGGTATATTTACTGATGCCATCTTTAACAAATGGAGCTTATGGCCACATCACATAGGAAAACCAGTTCCCCTATGGTTGCCAAAGTTAAGCAACGTCAAACCTGATCAGTACCTAGATGGGTGACCTCTTGGGAATAGTTGGTGCTGTAAGCATGGATGTGTGGCTGGTGGAATGAATAATGGCTTGGAATTGTTAATCAGAAAGCAGAGTTCCAATTCCAGTTGGGTTCATTATACTCACTTATGCACAAATGCCCTTAGGAAAGGTAAGAATTCACCTCTTCTCTCCCTAGCTAAGGGTTAATTAGTAAGACTTAAAAAAAAATTCTCATAATATAAAAAATAAAAATATTTTCTGGCTTAAAATAACCTACAATGGATTGATAAGCCATAGAAAACAAATCAACCAATCAATTTAACAAATGGCAATGGTAATATTAGCCATTTCCTTATAAGGAAACATTCATTATTCATTGAGCAAGTAACCAATGCTGTTGTTGGTTTTTATAAGATCTTTCTCTGAAAATAATTTTTTAGGAAAATAGGTTTCTCAAATCTGGTAACTTTTATCACTCTTTCCAGTATGGATGGAGGTTTCCTTTCTTGCTTTTTGTTTCAAGTAGTGTGGAATATCAGAACTTTTCATGTTGGAGATTACTGACAATCTTCCTTAATTATTGTTATTGTCTCTTGTAATGTCATGTCTATATGATGTGTTTGACAGAAGAGGGATGCATTCAACAAAAAAAACAAAAATTGCTTTTTTCACTACAAAATTATTTATTAAATCATATGCAAGTATTTTACAAAAGATTACACAATATTTCAAGCTCAATTTAGGTTTATAGTTCGTAACCATGCAATGAGATAACATAAACTGTAGATTTGTCTGTGAATATTACATTATTGTTATATAATTATAGTGAAATCATTAAGGTTTTTTGTCAAAAGCATTTTTGGTTGTATATTAATTTAAAATATTCCTTTTTACGGGCTTTATTTTGAATGAAATGGAATAAAATCATTATAAATTTCAGAATTTCACTGTTGCTCATCAAAATGACAGACAGAAAGCAATCTAAAAAAAAAAAATGGAAAAGAGAGGTAACAAAGTGTACAGAAAATAGCCCCAGTTTGTTCAACTTAGGAAACTTAGCATTGCTGTTAAAGTATTCTAAAAATAACAAAGGAGAAAATGAAAAATACCTAACAACAAATCGAATATAGCATCAAGATTTAGATTAGATTGATATTTTGATAATATTCAATGGTGGCACTCTTGAGGATTTTCCTTCTGAGTAAATTAATTTCTCTATTGATGTGTGTGGTATTTTTTTAGATCAAAATTGTGGTTGAATTTATTTTGGTGTATGACAAGTGCATTTGTTAAATTGTTATGTATGAGGTCCCTTCTGTGTTCATAGATATTTTTTTTTTTTTTTTTTTTAAATTTCTGCATATTTCCCCAATGTATTGTATGGACAGTTTTGGCAATTTATTTTATATATGCCTGTTTCTTCTGTTATTATTGTTATGGATGTTCATAGCTCTGATTATATCCATAATGTTTTTGGAAGTGGTTGTGTTTATTTTGATGTTGTTTAGATGAGATAGTTGATATTATGAAGTTGGGAGGTTGTGTTATGTATCAGTTGTGTTTAATTTATTATTGTGGATAAGGCTGTCATTTTTGATGTGCTTATGTATTTTTTGTGTCTTTCTCTTTGTGTTAATGAAGTAATAAGGATATTGGAGGTTTTTAAATGTGTTTTCTATGCCTTTTCTTCTTTGCGTAGGTATTGGGGTGGCTGCAAATTTTTAGTGCTCTTAAGTAGAAACCTATAATTATACTAGATTTAATTTTATAGAAGTGTTTAGAGTAGAAGTTGACCAGGTCATTTTTGTTGGTAGCTTTTCTGTAAATGTCAAAGTTTTGTTTGCTATTGTTTCTGTGTAACATGATATCTAGGAAGGGTAGGGTGTAGTTGACATCAGGTTCAAAGGTAAAGTCTGTTGTTGGTTGACAAAATCTGTTAAAATAGTGTTTTGGAGATATATTAGTAGGGAGTCATCTATGTATCTGAAAATAAGAAGTGTTTGGTCATAGAAATATATATATATATATATATGTGTGTGTGTGTGTGTGTGTGCGCGCATTTAGTATATATATATATGTGTGTGTTTAATATATATTGTGTGTGTGTGTATATATATATATATATATATATATATATATATATATATATATATATATATGTGTGTGTGTGTGTTGAACAATAAAAAAATTTTAAAATGTAACACTGTATTTATTTTTATTTGTATATTAATATTTTTTTGGTTTTATTATTTCAATTAGGTTCCTCAACTAGTTTCGGCCAGCATGGCCAACATCAGGAGAAAAAAATTCTTGCTTGTTAGTAGCAGTGAACTACAGGAACGAATGATTTTCTGAACAGAAATAAGAAGAGTTTGATCATAGAATATCTCTGAAAAATTCTACTCTAACGACTTTTATAAAATTAAATCGAGTATAATAAAGATTAATAGAAATAATTTATACAAATAAAATTTGTTACTTGGCTGATGGATATCATATTTAGCATTGACTTTCCTAGAGAAAACTTTTTATAATCGTTCAGTCCACTTGTCAA